CAAGAAGTCGGATGTGCTGCTGGAGTTCCAGAAGTGGCTGGTGCTGGTGGAGCGGCAGACGAAGAAGTCGGTGCTGATGCTGCGCTCGGACCGAGGCGGGGAGTTCCTCGGGAAGACGTTCACTGACTTCGTGGACGGCAAGGGGATCGTCCACGACTTGACCTGCCCGTACACCCCGCAGCAGAACGGCATGGCGGAGCGGGAGATGCGGACGGTAGTGGAGTCGGTGAGGACGATGCTGCTGCACATGGGCGTGCAGCACCACTGGTGGCACCTCGCTCTGCGGCAGGCCGTCTGGATCCGCAACTGCCTCGAGCGGTCGGCGACGCCGGGGACGACGCCATACCAGCTACTGACCGGGACGAAGCCCGACTTGTCGCTGGCGCGCGTGTGGGGCTGCATGGCGCAGTTCCTCGTCCCCGAGCAGCGGCGGGGTGGCAAGCTGAAGCCAAAGGCCAAGTGGGGCCTTCACCTCGGTGTGTCGGAGGCGAGCAAGGGCTGGGAGCTCCTCGACATCGCCGACAACCGGGTGGTCACCACGTCGGACGTGGTGTTCTACGAGGACCTGTCGCTGGAGGAGTGGAGGTCGGAGCATGGCCCCGTGTCCGGGCGGCCCCTGATGGCCACGCCGACGGATACCTCGACGGCCACGCTCCCCCTGCTCGCTGAGGTCGGTGAGCTTGCTGAGGACGACGCCGAGGTCGTCCACCCTTCCTCTACCCCCCCTGCCCCTCCCCTCGTCGACCTGCGTGGGCTGATTCCGCCGTCGGCCTCCGGCGATGAGGGGAGCAGTGGTTCGTCGCCTGTGGCGCCGGCGCCGACCAAGGGCGGTGGCCGCCGGGACAAGCAGCAGGTCGACCTGGGAGGGAAGTCGACCTGGATAGGGGGGAAGCAGGCCGAGGAGGTGCAGCCGACTTGGGTGAAGCCCACAGGGGAGCAGGCAGCAGCGAGGCCGACCAAGGAGCAGTCGGCGACCTGGCAGTCGGCAGGGGAGCTGACCGCAGGGGAGCAGTCGGTCGGGACGCCGACCGAAGTGCAGCAGGACAACGAGGACGGCGGTGAAGATGAAGGGGAGCAGTTGGGCGACGAGGAACTGGTCGACCAGGCGGTGGTCGACCCGCCTGAGCCCCGGAAGTCAGGTCGACTTCGGAGGCCTCCCGACTTCTTCGTCCCGGCCGCTTTCACTACGGTGTACGACGTGGAGGACGACGACGACATCCTGTACGACGACGCCGACGAGGACGAGGAGTTTCTGGAGCTCGACCCCGACATGCTGGCCGACCCCGACCACCGTTGGGACATCTCGACGATGACGGTGAAGGAGGCGTTAGCAAGCTGGAAGGGCCCGGCGGTGAAGGCCGCCATGGAGGAGGAGATAGCAGTCTCCTCGCCATGGGCACGTGGGAGCTGGTCGAACGCCCGCCGGGAGTGAATGTCATGAAGAACCGGTGGGTGCTGACGACGAAGTACAACATCGACGACACCGTCGAGCGGGAGAAGGCGAGGCTGGTCGTGAAGGGCTTCACGCAGGTGTACGGCGCCGACTACGACGAGACGTTCGCGCCGGTGGGCAGCTACGTCACGCTGAGGATCTTCCTCAGTATCGTCGCCGTCCTCAACCTGAACCTGATGCAGCTCGACATGAAGAACGCCTTCCTGCAGAGCAAGCTCGACCGGGTGTTGTACATGTCGCAGCCGGACTACTTCAACGACGGAACCGGCCGGGTGTGCAAATTGCTGAAGAGCCTGTACGGGCTGAAGCAGTCGCCGCTGCTGTGGTACTTGGCGCTCAACGACGTGCTGGTCGGCGCTGGGTGGAAGAAGAGCCAGGTCGACGAGGCCCTTTACTTCAAGGTCGGCGACGACGGGGCGACTTGCTGGGTGCTGGTCTACGTCGACGACTTGCTCGCCGCCAGCAGCAGCCCCGCGATGCTGAAGGAGCTGAAGGAGCTACTGGAGGCCGCCTTCGAGCTGCGCGAGATCTCGCCGGTGCAGAAGTACCTCGGGCTGGAGATCGTGCGCGACAGGTCGGCGGGGAAGCTGTGGCTGCACCAGCAGGGCTACGCCGACAAGCTACGTAGGCGCTTCATCGACGAGGAGCAGGGCGGCCGGACTCCGAAGACGCCGGTCTCGGTCGACGCCTACGCCGAGCTCACCTTCGACGACGAGGAGGCACAGGAGCGACAGGAGGAGGAATACCGGCAGAAGGTCGGCTCGCTGCAGTTCGCGGCGACGACGACGAGGCCGGACACCGCCTTCGCCTGCAGCAAGCTGGGGAGTGGCCTCACGGTGAGGAGCGACCAGCACTGGCGCGAGGTCGACCGCTGCCTCGCCTACCTCGCCAACACGCGTGACACCGCCCTGGAGTTCGGCGGTGGACCTGAGTCGCTGGAGCTGGTCGGCTACGTGGACGCCGACGACGCCGGTGACAAGCAGAGCAGGACGAGCACGGGCGGCTACGTGTTCGTCTACGGAGGGGCCGCGGTCTCCTGGTCGAGCCAGCGCATCAAGTGCGCGACGCTGTCGTCGACCGAGTCGGAGTACGTGGCGGCCGTCGAAGCTGGCAAGGAGGGACGCCGACTTCGCTTCCTCCTCGCAGAGTTCCAGCAGCTGGATGCTGGGAAGCCGACCGTCCTTCGGGTGGACAACAAGTCGGCCATCACAGTCGCCGAGGGCATGGGGTTGACGGGCAACCTCAAGCACATGGAGCGGCGACAGGCCTGGCTGCAGCACATGGTAAAGCGGGGGAAGTTTGCGCTACAGTACATCCCGACCGCTGAGCAGCCGGCCGACTTCCTCACGAAGGCGCTGCACTATCCGGCCTTCAACCGGTGCTCCGTTGCAATCGGCCAAGTGCGTCTGGCCGACGTGGGCGACGGCGACGACGAAGTGCAGCAGTAGGTGCCATGCCCTTTTGCATGGCTGGTGCGGTGGATGACGTGCTGTGTGTTGGGTGCACGTCGACGAGCTGTTCTCCGAGAGGTGCTGTCGTGTGGGCTGGGGGGGCCCAAGCGTGAACGCGGCAGGGGAGTGTCAACGGGAGTTGGGTGTTGGCCCCGTCCTCGCTTGGGCGGAGCCGACTTCCTGGTCGGGTGTAGGGGTGCAGCCGACCTGCAGTAGTGGGCGAGCCGGTCGACGGGGTTGGTCGACCTGCACGGAAGCCACTGCAAGGGCGCCGACTTCGGGAGGGCGCCAACTTCGAGTGGTCGACTCGAGTGGTCGACTTGGGGACGCCGACCTGGGGTAGCCGACTTGGGTGGTCGGCCAACAGGAGTGCTGGTCGACCTGGAGGTGGTCGACAAGGAGTGTCGTCGACCTGGAGTTGGTCGACCAGAGGGCGTGGTCGACCTGGTGAGGTCGACTGGAGGTGGCCGTCGACTTGGGAGGTCGACAGGCACGCACAGGAGCACCTGGTCGACGTGGTTGCCCGGTCGACCAGGTTACCTGGGTGACGAGGGTCTGCGAAGGCACGCGAAGGTCGCCCAGGCGAGGTTGGCAAGGACGACCTCGGTGGTGGTATCCCGAGGTCGACCTGGCAGATGAGATGCAGTCGTCAGCACAAGGTGGACTTGGTGCGTACGCTGTGCAGGTGACGAAGCAGTGCGCGCCAATCATCTACGAGCACCTGCGAAGCTGGTGCGATGCTGGACTGCAGGAGCAACGCTGGCACGCCGTCGACTTGCGCTGTTGTCACACCATCGACCTGCAGCGTTGGCAAGCCGCGTCCCTGCACTGCTGGAGCGCGGTCGACCAAGTCGTGCTGGCACGCGGTCGACCGTGCCGCGCTGGCAGTCGACCTGCTTGCATCCTAGCTCTGATGTAGTCTTTCCTAGCCAACTTCATTGTATCATTGTTGTCAACTTTCTCTAGTGAAACTCTTGCCAAATTGCCTTGTGAACTAGCAAGCAGTGTGTGCACTAGGAAAACGACTAAGGACCGAGGAACGCAGAGATCACACGAGCACCCGTGCCTAGCCCGCAGTCTAGCTCCCGTTACTAGAGTTATCTCCGCACACCTCCCCTCCCAGAAGGCCCCCAGCCGCTCTATGATCAGCGCCTTCTGACCTATGCCTGGCTTGGGAGGCACGGCTAGGATGAGGCGCGGAAACGCCAGGAGTAGGAGGGTAGCAGCTTCATCTCCCGGTCGGCTCTTCAGCCGCTTCAAGATGCAACAGAGTGCGTCTAAGACCCCGGACCGGGCCCGCTGCGGGATCCGGCGCACTGTCCTCCCTCCAACCGCCTCCACACAGAAAAATGCCTCCCACTCCCATGACTTAACCCCTGCCCACGCCTCGTCCCCAAATTCCCGCGGCGTCGGTCGCTCCTGTGTGTCGGTCTCCACCAGAGACGGGATCGAGCCAAGTGCCTGCGCGCGTCTCTCCGCCTCAGCCGCCCGGCATACCCTCATGTGGTTCGCAGCGGCCCCTCTCGTGGCGAACGTGTGGAAACACGTGTCACACGGGAAACGGGGGCATGGGGAAGGCGGACTGGGTGGTTCTCCGTCCGCCTCTGACTCCTCCGCAGTCGCCATGGGGGTATCAAACTCCAAAAGTCGGCACCACTCCTCCAACTGCTGTTCCCGGTCGTCCATCGATTCCCCCCCCTGCCTGCTGCATACCCTGGGGTGCTCCGGGCACCCCCGGCTGCCCTCCTGCCTGCTGCACTCCCTGGGGTGCCCCGGGCACCCCCGGCTGCCCCCCTGCCTGCTGCTCTCCCTGGGGTGCTCCGGCCACCCCCGGCTCCCCTCCTGCCTGCTCCAGGAATGTACATGTCTTGTATGGTGCAGTGAGCCATGCTGCTGAGGCTGTGCATTACTGCTGTGTAGGCTCAACTTACGGTGTTCCAGCGATAGTAGGGTGTGCTATGTAGGAAGCGTTTCAAGTTCTCCCGTCAGAATCCTGTCCACGGACTTGTCGCATCCGGCGCTGAAACGACAAGCATTCCTGAAACCGCCGTCCGCGGGATATAATCGCGAGTTATAACCTTCGCGTCAAATAGTAAATGTCGTTCAGTGCTCCACGGCCCTGCGGGCCTGCTTGCGCGTACCTCAGCGGCCCTGCGCGCGCCCATCGAAACCAGGGTGGTCGGAAGGACGAGGAGGACTTGGAGTCGAAATGGAAGGCGCAATTACTCGACCCCGGCACGCGAAAGAGCCGACACCAACAGCGACGACATGCGACGCCCGCCGCCCACGACGCACCCGAGAAGCTTCAGCTGATGTGCCGCACGGACATGGTTCACTATTTGGACGTACAAGGTGCGTGGGACGCGGGCGAGTGCGAGTGGTGCTTCGACCGCGCCGTGGCGTACCGCGTGGAGCACGCCCTGGGCAAGACCAGCGCGCTCTCCTTCCCCCTGCACCTGCACCGCGCGCAGTCGCCCGCCATCCCCCTTGCTCCCCCCAGCCGCCCCACCAAGGCCGTGCTTGACTTGTCCTGGAGCGTTCCCGTGCAGCGCCTGGCCGGGCAGCGGGGGGTGTCGGCGCGCGAGCAGCTGGTGTGGAAGTGCGAGCAGGCGCCGCTGCTGTGCGTGCAATCGATGCTACTCGAGTGGCTGGCCGAGCCGCGTGTGGGCGTGCTCATGGACCTGGGGAAGATCCGATCCCGCCTGCCTGCCATCCTCGCCCACACACGTGCTGATGCATACTGCCCTGCTTCTCTGAAACCTCTTGCTGAAACGTCTCAATTTGCTGACCCCCCTGCTGCTGCAGCGTGGTCATGCTGCTGGCGCTGTACTGGCTGCTGGGCTGCGTACCGCCGTGCTGTGAGCTTCGCTGTCTTCCTGGTGCTGGTGGCGAGGTCCCCGTGCGTGGTGACGCTGTGGAAGGCGCACATGGAATCGCGCACGCACACCTTCACAGCGCTACTCACCCAGCTGGGAGCGCGCAGACACGCAGAGCCGGACTGCTTCGCGTCCATGCTGGTGCAGGTGCTGGGGGTGAAGGAGCGCGGTGAGGTGCAGGAGGGGTTCGGGTTCTTCCTGCACCACCTGCTGCCAGGCGCGCTGGACACGGCGGGTGGCAAGGCGCAGGGCACAGGAAAGAAGGCTGCAGCTCTGGGCAACACAGGGCTGGTTGCAACTGCTGCGATGCGCCTCATGGGCGGTGGCAGGGGAGCGGAGGCCGTAGGGGGGAGCAGTGCTGCGCGTGGGTCAGGGGATGAGGAGGATGGGGAGGAGGGGACGGCAGGAGGCAGGGGCCAGTGGGTGGTGGCGGTGAGGGCGGTGGGGATGGGCAGGGCGGGCAGTGGAGGGAGCATCTGAAGGGGCGTGTGTGGGAGAGGTATGTGGATGGCATGGCTTGGATCCTGGAGCATGGAGGGGGGGAAGGGAGGGAGTTCCGGTGCAGCCACTGCAGTGAAGGTTTAGACAACAGCAGCAGCAGCAGCAGCAGCAGCAGCAGCAGCAGCAGCAGCAGCAGCAGCAGCAGTGGCTGCAGCAGTCGTAATAGTGGCAGTCGTTGCAGCAGCAGCTACAGTGGTGGTAGCAGCAGCGGTGTTGATGCGGTGGGCAGTGGCGGCAACATGGAACAAAATGATGTTCCCAGGGGTATGTATGTGAGTGGCGTGGCTGCCACTGACTTCGCCCTGGCAGTGGCATCAGTGCTGTCCCTGCCAGGGCACTATGAGGACCAGTCGCTCGTGCTGGACGGCAACAACGCACTCAAGGCCAAGGTGGAGAATGCTGCCATTCGTGACGCCAGAAATTGGCTGAGAAAGAGGGGGGGCGAGAGAGCGACAGCCATGGACGAAGCAGCGGGCAGGCCAAACCCATCCTCCAAAAGCAGTGCTGTGAATGCCAGTGGTACAGCTGCCATTGCCACTACTGCTGCCTCAACCTCCTCCTCACCATGCCACCTGTTTTCTTCGACCACCTCCTCTTCCACCACCCATGCTCTTCCCCCTACCGCTGCAGCAACTGCAGCAAGTGTTGAGGCGCCTCAGGGGTCCACTGCAGCGGCTCAAGCCAGTGCCATTCTCGCCCCTGGCCTCGTACCTGTCAACACCCACCCCGCTATGGCTCTCCTAACTTATCGAGTTGCTTGCCTCTTGCAGTGGGTCCGAATCTACGGCTCAGATTTCATCCCGAAGAACTGCTGCTTCAGGGGTAGCCTTCAGGGGAAGGTCCTGCCCATGCGCCACCCCCTTAGGGACCTTCCGAGCCTGCTGCTCAGGTTTGGTGCCATTCCCAAGCCGGTGGAGGGAAGTGACTTCCCCCTGGAGTGGGAGGAGTGGCCTGAGGGCGATGACGCTGCTGCCAAGCTCCCTCCCGACCCCACCTCCCGTCTCTTTGGTCTTGACTGATACCAAGACTGAAGTAGAATTCGGTACGGTGAAATTCGGGTGCCGAATTTCACCCCTTCGAAATGTTACTCGAACATTCGCGAGTGTACCGCGGTTCGAGGTTACAAATGCGATTCGACTTTTGCAGTTCATATAAAATTGTGTTGCTTTGTATTGCATGCATCATAGTGAAAACCTGAGTTCTTTGTACAAGGTACATTTGAACACAAATTCCAGAGAGCTTCTATACTTGCATTCAAGAGCACCACCTAGCACGTGAACGCCTATATCTCGGCGAATACTAAGGCGATCGACGTGTGTGACGGCTCATTGGAAAGCTAAGACAGAGCTCTATCGTTTGGAACAACTCCCAGTTCCTGCAAAGTAGAGGACACGCCTCTACATCAGTGGTATCAGAGCTGGTCGGTGGAGTCTACGTGCGCGACGAGAAGCGAGCATGATGACGTCAAGCAAAGCCTCCGACACTTCTTCGGGTGGTGTCGTCTCGTATCACGGCGATCCCTGGGCAGCCGCGACGATGTACGACACGTCGGCGGTACCGATTTTCACGGGACAAAACTACTCCGCGTGGAAGTTTAAGTTCCAAGTGCTCATGATGGAGCGGGGACTTTGGGGACTCTTCGATGGATCGGAGAAAAGGCCGACGGATAACGAGAGCGCCATCGCGGCATGGAAGAAGAAGGACCAAAAGGCGTTCGCTACGCTAATCTCGCGGATCGGCATCAACCTCGTGAGCTCGGTGCGCATGTGTATCAAGCTCGAAGCGTCGGCGCATGAAGCATGGAAGCGGCTCGAGACAATGCACGTGAACAAGACTCTCCACGGCAAGATCCTAGCCCGGAACGCGTTCTACACGGTGAAGTTGCGCGCGGGCGAATCGATGCACGAGTATGCGACTCGTGTGGAGGAATTTGGGGAAACATTCATGGACCTTGGTGGAACGGTCACCGAGGAGGATTGGATTCTCACCTTGCTTTGCGGCCTTCCGGAAGAGTGGTCGACGGTGATTACGACACTCGATAGTGTGCAAGGCACTTGGACGAAGGAAATGGTGGTCGGACGGCTTCTCCATGAAGAATCACGTCGCCGACAATTCGCTAATGAGAGCGTGGAGACCGCCATGTACTCCGGAGGGAGTTCCGGAAAGAAGTCCAAGTGGAGCAAGGGTGCGACGAATGAATCATCCGGTGGGAGCGATCATCGCGGCAAGTGTCACTATTGCCGCAAACCGGGACACTTTTGGTGAGAGTGTCGGAAGCGCCCGAGCGATTGGACTCCATCAAAGGCACGAGACGGTGAGGGCAACGTGCACACGGCATCCGGCGAGGCCGATGAATCAAAGGAGTCGCTCGTGTTAGTGGCCGGCAACGGGAACGAAACTCCAAGCGACACGTGGTTCCTCGATACCGGCGCAACACAACACATGACGCACTCGGCGTCGCTCCTCAACAACATTGGCGCTCCGGGAGACGTTACGAGCATCGTGTTCGGAAACAACGAATCGCTACCGGTGGTTGGAGTTGGGAGTACGCGCCTCATCGTCGATAGGGGACCGGTGGACATCACAAACGTGCTTCACGTCCCGGGGGTGAAGGTGAACCTTCTATCCGTCCCAAAACTTGCGAAGAAAGGCGTGATCGCCACGATCGACGGTGCGAAGATGAACCTCTTTTGGAAGGGGGAGCAATTCGCGCAAGGTGTTCTCAACGGAGATATCTACCAACTCAAGACGTACCCGAGAGTGGCTTCATCCAACGTGGCTTCATCCAACGTGGCGCAAGGATCTAAGGCAACTCTCAAGGCGTGGCATAATCGGATTGCGCACGCCAACTACGATTCGGTCAAGGAGTTGGCCAACAAAGGGCTCGCGAAGGGAGTCGACGTGATCGCCGGCGACGACGAGAAGGGCGTATGCGTGGCGTGTGTCGAAGGAAAAATGGCTCGCAAGCCATTTGGTAGCCGAACGTCACCCCTCGCTAAGGACCCGCTTGCGCTTGTTCACATGGACGTGTGTGGACCGATGCGGCATGCATCAAAGGGAGGAGCGCGGTTCCTCTTGGTGATGCTCGACGACGCGACGCGGATGTGTTGGACCCGACTCTTGAAGGCTAAGGGAGATGCGGCCAAGGCGATTCAAGAGTGGGCGCTCGAAGTTTGCAACGATGACAAGAAGCGGATCAAGTGTATTCGCACCGATGGTGGTGGCGAATTCGTGAACAACGAGCTTGAGAAATGGATGAAGAGCAAGGGCATTAAGCACGACGTCACAACACCCTACACACCCCAACAAAATGGAGCGGCGGAGCGGCTTAATCGCACGTTGGTGGAAGCCGTTCGTTCACTACTTCAACACTCCAAGCTTGGGCACGAGTGGTGGGGAGAGGCGAGTGCGCTAGCGGCTTGAATTCGTAATCGTTTGCCGACCAAGGTGCTCCCGGGAACGACTCCGTTCGAAGCATGGACCGGAACGAAGCCGAACCTTTCCCGCCTTTGCACCTTCTGATGTCTTTGCTACTACCATGTACCGGATCCTCTTCGCCACAAGTTGCAACCGAAGGCTCGTGCGGCCATCTTCTTGGGGATAGCGGCAAACGAGCGTGCGTGGCGAGTGTGGGACTTGGGTGACAAGCGTGTTGTCACATCTCGGGATGTGGTCTTCGATGAAGACAAGTTCCCGTCGAAGGAGAAAACCACTCAACAAGTCACCTTCATCCTTCCGCCACGAGAGGAGGTTGAAGAGAGTGAGTCTCCACCTCAAGTGGAGAAGGAAGCTGAAGATGGAGGGGGAGAGAACAACGAGGAGAACGTTGATGATGTCGTGGAGGTGTCACCAACCGAGGCGGCAACTACCTCCACACCTTCCTCATTACCATTGGCTTTGACCCGTGGGCGTCGTGAAGTTCGTCCTCCCGCCAAGTACAAAGACTACGCTACGGTAGCCGTTGGGGAGACGGATAAGGAGGGCATGTCAAATGTTGTAGCCTATAGTGAGATTTATCTTAGGGGGTACAAAACTTAGGGTTAGCTATATGTACCCCAACCAACATCAATGCATCATCATTCTTCATTCTGACAACAAGGCGTCTATTCTCCTTTGTCGAGAGCCACGACTGGAGAGCAGAGTGAAGCACATTCACGTCAGGTACTTTCTTCTGCGAGAGTTGCAGAGGCGTGGACAGGCTCGCTTTGAGTTTGTGGAGTCCGAGGCCAACACTGCAGACATCTTCACCAAGGCGCTTCCGCCTTGTGACCACCAGAGGTGCTGTGTGCAGTTAGGCCTTGTTGACACTGGTTCTCGTGTTGCTTAGACTTGAGTGTACTGTTTACTTTGCTTTCTATATACCTCTGTTACTTCTTGGACTGGCCTTGTGGCCACTGTTGTTTGTGCTCAGACTGTGTGGTGACGTTGTGATCCACCCTGAGCTTCATTTCTTGGACTGGTCTTGTGACCGTACTCGTGTGGTTCTGCTAGACACCCCTCACTTAGGCTATGGGGGTGTGTCAAATGTTGTAGCCTATAGTGAGGTTTGTCTTAGGGGGTACAAAACTTAGGGTTAGCTATATGTACCCCAACCAACATCAATGCATCATCCATTCTTCATTCTGACAGGGCACGGCATTTTGCTTCGCGACCAAGGGTGATAACGAACACGCGGATTCTCTCGTGGAACCACCCCCTAAAGATCCATCCCATGCATGTTGTGATGGATCGCACACCTAGTGGCTTGGGTGCAAGGGGGAGTGTTGGAGGTTGCGTGTAGGGGGAGGTATGCCCCCTACCACCGAATATGTGTGAATTGCAGGTTGCGTGAGGTTGAGGGTTTGACTTCGGAAGACTCTTCAATTCGGTGCCACATGGCAGCACAAGGAACAATCGAGACTGAAGTAGAATTCGGTACGGTGAAATTCGGGTGCCGAATTTCACCCCTTCGAAATGTTACTCGAACATTCGCGAGTGTACCGCGGTTCGAGGTTACAAATGCGATTCGACTTTTGCAGTTCATATAAAATTGTGTTGCTTTGTATTGCATGCATCATAGTGAAAACCTGAGTTCTTTGTACAAGGTACATTTGAACATAAATTCCAGAGAGCTTCTATACTTGCATTCAAGAGCACCACCTAGCACGTGAACGCCTATATCTCGGCGAATACTAAGGCGATCGACATGTGTGACGGCTCATTGGAAAGCTAAGACAGAGCTCTATCGTTTGGAACAACTCCCAGTTCCTGCAAAGTAGAGGACACGCCTCTACATCAGTATCGTGGACGCCAGCGCCATGGGCCACGTGACACGCTCTCAGCATGGCCTATCACAGGAGAATGACGTGGTAGAGGCGGGTGACGTGGCAGAGGCGGGTGGGCAGGGGCCGTCAGAGTATGTGCAAGGAGCAGCAGGGAAGGGCAAGGCTGTGAAGGGGACAGGAGAGAGGGGGAAAGGAGGGAACGGGAGTGGAGGCAAGAAGGCGGAATGGGGGCCTGAAACGATCACGGAGCGTGGGAAGGGGAAAGGAGTCGAAGCACACACATGCGTGCTGCCGCCGCCACTGCAGAGCAAGGGCCACTCGCAGCCTTGGGTGCCCATCATGCGGTGCCGCGCTGATGTGGACTTTGTACTGGCCTTTCTGACAGACATGTTCAAGGTGCCAAAGTGTTCCCAGTGCCTCAAGTGCCTGCGCATCTTCATCAACCACGTGCCGTGCTGCGCTCTCATCGCCAACTTCGCCTATCGCCCCGTGGACGCCCTCGTCACGCGCTTCCTCGCCGCCTTCCCCGCACGCTCCCCTGAGTCCCACCGCCTGCTCAAGGCGCTGCTGCTGCGCTCGCCCCTCACCACGGCGGAGCACACCACACTCATCAACGAGTCCAGTCCTGCCCGCGAAAAGAGGGCCATGACTGCCCTGCACCAATGGCACGAGCAGGTGACGGAGCTGCCCAGGGATGCGCGCATGAGGGAGAGCGTGATGCGGTTGAAGGCACGGCAGATGCCACTGTTGTTGGTGCTGGCTGTGGCGCTGTACCATGCGCAGCCCATCATGGGGGTGTCGCACACAGGCGAAACGGGCTCACACAACGGGAACGTGGAAATGATTGCACGGCAGATGGAGAGGGTCCTGGGGAGCGGGGGCAGTGTAGGGGGTGTGGACGACGGGCAGGTGTGGGTGGAGGTGGAGTCGTGGTGCTTTGCCATGATGTACGCGTGGCACGCCACCACCAAGGTCATGGGGCCGGGGCTCCTTGTGTCGTGTGGGAAGGACAGCAGCCATGTGCCGCCCAGCAAGGCAGGAGCGCCCATGTTACACGAGTGGGGTGTTGAATTGTGGGCGCAGGCTGCTACACCCAGGTTCCGTGATGACATGTGCGCAAGTCACGGTGGGTGTGGCGATGCCTGTGCGGACAGCAGCAGTGGGGCCAGTGGTGGCGGTGGTGGGGAGAGAGAGAGCGAGGATGGAAAGGGGGAGGTGCCAGGTTATCTGAAGCCCTGGCCCGGGGGGATCAACCTGCTCGCATGTCTGCGTGAGATGCTGCTGGGGGAGGTGTGCTACCGCCCTGCCTGCCCTGCTGCATCGTCCACCCATGGTGCTGCAGCGAGTGTGTGTGTCTCCACAAGGCCTGTGCCCTCTTCCGCCGCTGCCGCACCAAGCACTGCACGTGCACGCAGCAATGCAGCTGCGTCCGTTTCAGTTGCACAAGGCCCTGGTGATGCTGCTTGTAGCGGACGTGTGTGCGGCGCTGCGGGGTGTGCGAGGGTGGACGGTGATGCTGGTGTGAAGCTGAAAAGTTGCTCTGGGTGTGGCAAGGTGGCGTATTGCAGCAGAGAGTGCCAAAAGGCGCACTGGCCCTCCCACAAGCTTGCATGCCCCGGCAGGTCCAACGACCGGGGTGGTGGCAAGGTAGGTGAAGTGGTGAGTGGCAAGGTGAGTTGTATTGTGAGTGAGACAAACATTGGGCAGTGAGCTGAGGTGAAGGTGGATTCACCAAATGGTGAACACACGTATGAGAAGCAAGGCTAGAGGCGTGAACCATGGCATGGCATGGCATGGCATGGCACCATCGTATCTGTTTTCACAGGGCTAACACCAGTGACTAACCGCATCCGAGGGACATTCTAGGGTAATTGTTGAACAATTAGTTTATTTGTCAATAAGGCTGAGGAACTTAATGTACTTCAGTCGGCCTTTAGATATTTTTCATCCCATCCTGGAAGCTGCTTTCTTCTTCTCATGGTAGTAATGTCCCTCTAGGAACATGGACAGACTTAGCCTCCACTCCAATCAGCTGATTGCAACGCACTGCCACAATGATTTGTGTACTGCGGAAGGTACATGTGGATGAACGGGTCATGGCTTGACGTGCAGGGCGCGCACAGGTTCAGCGGGCGAGGTTGTCAATGTCCACGCCGGGCATGGGGAACTGCGTCGCCAGCGCTGTCACGCGCTGCTTCAGCGCCTCGATGTCCGCACGCTCCTTGCACGCCTCGCCCTGCACGTACGCCATGTAGTCCTTGAGCTTCGCGCCTGCTCCCCCTGCGGCGCGCACTGCGTGGTCACTGGACGCCTTGACGCGCTGTGCCAGGTTGATGCCCTCGTGCAGCAGCTCCGCCACCTGCCCTCACACGTGCACACCACCCCACACACCACGACCAGCGTGAGTGACCATGAGGTGGAAGGTGTTACATTGACAAACGAGCATTGTGTGAAGCACGGGCAGCAAGGCAGTACAAGGCATGGCGGGCGCGCACCTGGTGGAAGTGCTCCTCCTTGAAGCCCCGCGTGGTGAGCGCTGGGGTGCCGATGCGGATGCCCCCTGGCACCACTGCACTCTTGTCACCTGCCAGCACGAAAAGTGGCAGGCATTTGTTTTCTAGATATGAGAATTAGAGTGGCTATGGGCAGTGGTACAGAGTGTGCGGGCACTATGGGCACGGATGGGTAGGGCACAAGATGGCATGGCATGGCATGGCATGGCATGGCATGGCATGGCATGGCATGGCATGGCATGGCATGGCATGGCATGGCATGGCAGAGCACCTGGCACGGAGTTCTTGTTGAGTGTGATGGCTGCGAGGTCCAGCACCTTCTCCACTCGTGCACCGTCCAACCCCTGCCCCCCACACACACATGCCACACAGGAGCGTCAGCGAAAAGGGGGGCGGGCGAGGACGTCACTGCAAGGCTGCTGAAAAGCGATACAGCAAGCAGAGAAGCGGCAGAGGGTGCGTGGTGGTGGGGTGGCAGGGAGGGCACGGACGAGGGGGCGCAGGTCGAGCAGCAGCAGGTGGTTGTCAGTGCCCCCCGACACCAGTGTGTACCCCAGCTCCACCAACCGCGCCGCCAGCGCCGCACAGTTCGCCTTCACCTGTCTCCCCGCACACGCAATGATCGTTGTTGGCCGTGCAGGGACGTGGAAGGGTGGGCGTGGGAGGGGAAAAAACGCAGAGAGGGAGAGCTTGGTGGGCAGAGACATAAAATGCACCAGAATCACCTATTCCCAGGTGAATAAACCAGAGGATAAACAACGAGAGGCAGGGACACAGGAGAGGAGGGAGGGTGGAGACGGAGAGTGCGTGCGCAGCAGGGAGGGGCGGCGGACCTGTAGTTGGTAGTCCTTAAAGGCGGGCGTGGCTGCTTGCTTCAGACACACCGCGATGCCGCCTATCGTGTGGTTGTGCGGCCCGCCCTGCAGTGGGGATGGGTATGCACGGTGAAGGACAGGATCAACGATTGCCAGAAGGGGAGGGACAGAGTAGAGGGAGCAGGGCAAGCGGAATGGAGGAGTTGGCAGGAGGACGCGTTGGGCATTGGGCAGTGGATGGGTTGAGTGACCTGCATGCCGGGGAAGACGGCGTTGTTGATGGCCGTCTCCATGTCGATGCCGTTGATCTCGCCCCGCCGGAAGAAGATCAGCCCCCCTCGCGGCCCCCGCAGCGACTGCCACACACCCAACAGGCCAGGTGGAGAGGGGGTGGGGGGGGGGAAGGGGGAGAGGGGAAAAGGGAGAGTGATGGAGGCATGCATGGCACCATCGTGGACGGTGGTAAGACAGGTCACCCATGGCAGCACGCGAGGCGCGTGCAGCAGCAGCAGCAGCAGCAGCAGCAGCAGCAGGGTTGGCGTGCAGGTGGTGTACCTTGTGCGTGGTGGTGGTGACGACGTCCGCGTACTCAAAGGGGCTCGCCACCACGCCCGCCGCCACCAGCCCGCTGATGTGCGCCATGTCCGCCAGCAGAAACGCGCCCACACTGTCCGCTATCTGCCGCCCAGCACGGCCGGGCGCACATGGGAGAGCAGGGGGAGGGGGGCAGTGGGGTGTGGGGAAAAAGGGGAGCAGGGAACGGGGAAGAGGGGGGTGGAATCGTGCGGGAGGAGAGGGGTTACGAAAGAGGCGGTAGGGGGAACAGCAGGAAGTGCTGTGTCATCACGCTGCGGCTGTTGAAAGCAACGCAGCAACCATTGTGGTTCCATTGTGAGGTTCATTCACTTCACAACCGTCGTTCCAAGTCCCTTCAATTCTACACAACCACCTTCCCCGCCACCCGCCCCTTCCCCGCCACCCGCCCCTTCCCCGCCACCCGCCCCTTCCCCGCCCCGCCGTGGCGCACCTGGCGCATGCGCTTGTAGTCGTAGTCGCGCGGGTACGCGCTGGCGCCCGCGATGATGAGCTGCGGGCGGAACAGCAGCGCCGACCGCTGCAGCGCCTCGTAGTCCACCAGGCCTGCAAGGGGGAAGGGGCAAGGGGCGGGAGGGCATGAGGCGAGCACGCGCGAGCGAGTGGAGGCGAAAAGGAACAAGAGCCATGCGCATGGTAGGGAGCTCATGTGCGTGACATCACGACGCAGCGCGCCATGCATGTGACAATCCCCTTCCCCCACTCGTTGGCGAGATCACGAGGCAGCACCCTCCCAGCCTCCCACGGTGCGACGCGGGCGAGCGGGCGTACCGGTGGACTCGTCGAGGCGGTAGGGCATGGACTCGAAGTACACGGACGTCGCGGACACGCGCCGCTTCGCCGTCATGAACCCGTGCGACAAGTGCCCCCCGTGCGGCAGATCCAGCCCCTGCCGCGCACACGCATGGCAGCACGAGCCCACACACAGATGTCAGCTCAACATCATGGGCTCGCCGTGTGGGGAAAGCAATCAGCTAAAGCGATCAAACCAAGGAGGGGCCAGGGAGGAACGGAAGGGCGAAATCAATGGTAGGGTTAGGCTGAGGAGGAGGGGAACGAGGGGGAAGTGGGGGGTGGCGGGCGGGGCGGGGGAAGAAGGGAGAAGAAGGGCGGGAGCGGGATGAAGCGCATAGCGAAGGCAGGTGGGATAAGGGCGGGGCTGGGCCCACCATGATGCGGTCGTGCGGTTTGAGCAGCGCCGTGTACACGGCGAAGTTGGCGGGCGACCCGGACAGCGCCTGCACGTTCACGCCCCACTGCGCGGGGTCCAGGCGGAACGCCGCGAGCGCGCGCTGCTGGCACAGCACCTCGCTCTGGTCGATGAACTCGTTGCCCCCGTAGTACCTGCCATGCCGCGGCACACGCACACGCGCACACACGCGCACACGCGCACACGCGCACACGAGCCACACGCGCACACGAGCCACACGCGGGGTCAACAACGAGATCGCTCTGTGCAAAGGCAACAACTGGCGTGTCGCGCACGATTCTTTCCCGCAAGAAACTATCCGCACCGCAGCCCTACAGTCGCCGTCCCTCTTGCACCGCATCTGCATTTATTCCCGTTCCTTTAGCCTCTTAGGTTTCTAGTGGCCCCATGCATCACCCCCCTGCCTCCACCACCCCTCCCAGCTCCCCCCTCCACCCCGGGGGCGCACCTCTTGCCCGGCAGCCCCTCGGAGTACTTGTTGGTCAGGCACGACCCCACGGCCTGCATCACGGCGCGGCTCGTGAAGTTCTCGCTCGCGATGAGCTCCAGCCCCTCCTCCTGCCGCCGCCGCTCCGACGCGATCACCGCCGCCACCTCGGGGTCCGCCTCCGCCAGCGGCGGGTCCGCAAACACCGACGCGGGACTGTCGGCTGGCGGCGTCCGACAACGATCAGGGGGAGAAGGGGGAACGGATTAAGCGGGTAGCGCGGCGAAGGCAGAGGAGACGGGTGTTGGATCAGACAAAGATCGCGCGACGAGAGACGCGGCGACTAGAGTGGAAAACGAGAGGCGACGAACCTTGAACGGCAACGGCGGCGACGCTAAGAGCACCATTCCGCCTTGCGCAGTGGCTGCGTGGCACATGGGGGAGGAGATCGGCAGCCACGCCAAACCACGCGATGGCGTCAACAAGAGGGGCAGAAGTGAAAGCGAAATTTCTCGAAACGAAGACGGAAAAGAGAACGCGGAGGAGCAAGCGCAAGGGTGGAGAAGAACGCACCTTGGGCTGGGGCCGGACGCCTTGCACCCGACGTGCGCGGCAAAGAACGGAGCTCGATTGAAGTGCAGATCACGCGAAGGAGATTTGAGTGAAGGCACAACTGTCGGCGACGTGGCGGGTAGTGTGGTAAAGTGGGCCTTTAGGGACGCCATGGCGGGCGAGCAGCAACAAGGGTGAGTGATGAGAGAATGTTGTCAAACGGCTTCAGGCGGTAAAGCGGACTCCGAGGCTTGAAAGTTGAAACACAGGAACAGCAGGTTTTGATTTGAAGCACCCAGTGGGCAGCATTTGCGCAACCCCTCTCGCAGGGTTTATCCGCGCCGCTCACTGCGCCTACCCACCGTCACTGCTGACATCACCGCTCAAGCCACGTCATCTATTCAAGACCCTGTTGGACAAAGCTACGCGAGGAAAAAGGAGCCGGAAGGTGATGATTGGTTGGATAACAAGAAAACCCTGGCTCATTGCCACGTCAGATCTACACCAGTTAATAGATGGAATTAAGGACGCGTCACAAGTAGAACATCGATCCTGCCTAGAATCGGTGTTTAGGTGGTTACACATTTTCGTTAATTTTCGCTAACGTACAGTTTTCCCTTCTAAGTCAGGCGATCGATGTGCCCCTGTCACACATC